ATTACTCCTCCACCCTTTTTCTGGGGACAACTGTAAAATGTTGGCTTTCCCCCAATATATTCTATTCAGTGACCATATGGAACAGTATAAAGGGAGAGGTTTGTAAATTGGGAGGTCTGTGGGATGCAGACAGCAATAAAACTTGTCAGAGGTTTGTAATTTTAAACAAAATCAATAAAGAAAAATGATATGTATAAAAACTTTATAAAGTTCACAATGGTGTAGTGATTTTAGGGTCCATTCAGGCAGGCATCCCGCCCTTGCCAAGCTGTTGGCACATTTGTGTGCATCCACCTCGGAGCCGCATGCAGGCAACCCATAAAAGTGGATGCACATGCAGCGCCTGCACAGACACAGACACATGTCAAAGCTGGAGAAGCAAGCAGGAGCAGGTGCACGGATCTAAACACACGGAAAATATATACTTTCTATTCCTGTGCTCATGAAATCCAGAGCATTTTGGATTTCCATCACTTTCCCTCTCAGTGGCAATAGCCCCAGGATAAATTGTTTTATTAGATCTCTTCAATGGCAGAATAGACAGGGATTAAATCCCTGACAGAGGCACTGACCCTTCACTACTCAAAACTGAAAAAAAACATTTTTGCTGGACTTCTATTAAACTTTACTATGTCTTCACATTATAGTTCATATTATAGTTTGGGTTAATTATTACTTTCTTAACCACTTGAAGACCAGGCTATAGCCGAATGATAGCTACAGCATGGTTATCTAGATCTAGGAAGGTGTCATATGACGTCCTCCAGAACCGCGCCTCCCGTGTGCCCCCTGGGGCTGCACCTGTTGAGCTCTGTGATTGCTGTGACCATTGGGCACAGCTGATTACATGACATGGTAAAGGGTCAATCACAGGGCCCTTTTACCACTTGATCAGCTGTATCTCATGACACAGCTGATCACAATGTAAATACAGTTGCTGGTTATCGGCTGCACTTTCCTCACGCTGTCACAGAGCCCGTAATCGTATTTAAAAATCAAAGGCAGTCCAGTGCAGCCTGAAGCCCCAACAGTGTCCATCAGTGCAGTCCCAACAGTGTCTATCAGTGCTGCCAGTGTCCATTAGTGCCACCAGTCTGTGTCCATCAATGCCGTTAGTCAGTGATCATCAGTGCCTCCAGTCAGTGTCTATCAGTGCTACCAGTTAGTGTCTATCATAGCCACCAGTCAGTGTTCATCAGTGCTGCCTATCAGTGCCACCTTTTGATGACCATCAGTACCGCATATCAGTTCAGCCTCATCAGTGCCTCCTTGTCAGTGCCCATAAGTGCAGCCTATCAGTGCCCATCAGTGCTGTCTATCAGTGCAGCCTCATCAGGGCCACCTCATCAGTACCCATCAGTGCACCCTATCAGTGCTGCATGTCAGTGCCCGTCAGTGCAGCCTCATCAGCACACATCAGTGAAGGAGAAAAATTACCTGTTTTATACAGTAAGAGAAACTAGGAAAAAACATTTTTTTTTCAAAATGTTTTAGTATTTTTTTGTTTAGCAGAAAATTAAAAACCCAGTGGCAATTAAATACCACCAAAAAAAAGCTCTACATGTCTCAAAAAAAATTATAAAAATGTCATGTGTACAGTGTTGCATGACCGTGCAATAGTTATTCAAAGTGAGACAGCACTGAAAGCTGAAAACTGTCCTGAGCAGGAAAGGGGTGAAAGTGCCCCGTTGGCAAGTGGTTAAACTGAAACCAAAATGATGTACACCTGAAGCATAGTTTTCTCCTAAACTGAGTTTGACATTTTGCCTTAAAAAATGTAATTGAAAGTGTGGCATTCTAATAGATTATATACTGTTTTCAAATATATACATTTGTATACACATATTTTACTTTACTTAATCTATGTTTATCATTTTAATGATTTGCTGCTTGGTGTATAAACAGTGACTAAAGAAGTACTTTGAAATCATCAATAAATAAATAAATAAAAAGATCATTATCAGGATATATATAACTCTACATATTTTAGGTGTATTTAGTAGTCCTTTCTTTTGATTCTTCTAACTCCCAATATCACCTGTTCCCAGCTACTAACCCCATTACAGGAAATTGTTTAGCATGAGCTTTTTAAGTAGTCACAACTAATATGTAATTTCTTGGGGGGCCACTTATTCAGGCAGCTGTGATTTGTTTTCTCTATGTGTTTATTTTTGATTTGCACATACAGTACATTTTTAGCAGTGGTTTAATATTGTTCTGGACATACCGTACTTCTATGTTCTTGTATCTCAAATAGGCTATTGTGTTACAAAATGATTATCTTTTCCACTAACGAGTCTCTCGTAAGACATAATACAGACACAAGTAAGCAGCTACTGAAATGGTTCATGTTGAGTATAGGCGAGCAAAGGTGTGTAAGCGTATAGACAAGTAAAATTCTTTTTCATTGCCAGTATTGTAATACACTCATGTATACTGACCTGAGTAACGTTGAGTACAGGTGTGAAAGTGTATAGATGAGTAAAATTCTTCTTTATTACCAGTATTTTAATATACTCATGTGTATTGACCTGAGTAATGTTGAGTATAGGCGAGTAAAGATGTGTAAGCATATAGATGAGTACAATTCTTCATTGCCAGTATTGTAATATACTCACGCGTAATGACCTGAGTAATGCTGAGTATAGGCGAGTAAAGGTGTGTAAGCATTTAGATAAGTATAGACGAGCAAAATTCTTCATTGCGAGTATTGTTATATACTCATGTGTAATGACCTGAGTAATGTTGAGTATAGGCGAGTAAAGGTGTGTAAGTGTATAGATGAGTATAGACGAGTAAAATTCTTCTTTATTGCTGGTATTTTAATATACTCATGTGTAATGACCCGAGTAATGTTGAGTATAGGCGAGTAAAGATGTGTAAGCGTATAGATGAGTACAATTCTTCTTCATTGCCAGTATTGTAATATACTCGTGTGTAAAGACCTGAGTAATGCTGAGTATAGGCGAGTAAAGGTGTGTAAGCGTAGAGATGAGTATAGACAAGTAAAGATCTTCTTCATTGCCAGTATTGTAATATACTTATGTATAATGACCTGAGTAATGTTGAGTATAGGTGAGTAAAGTTGTGTAAGTGTAGAGATGAGTATAGACAAATAAAGATCTTCTTCATTGCCAGTATTGTAATATACTCATGTATAATGACCTGAGTAATGTTGAGTATAGGTGAGTAAAGTTGTGTAAGTGTAGAGATGAGTATAGACAAGTAAAGATGTTCTTCATTGCCAGTATTGTAATATACTCATGTGTAATGACCTGAGTAATGTTGAGTATAGGCGAGTAAAGGTGTGTTAGTGTAGAGATGAGTATAGACAAGTAAAGATCTTCTTCATTGCCAGTATTGTAATATACTCATGTATAATGACCTGAGTAATGTTGAGTATAGGTGAGTAAAGTTGTGTAAGAGTATAAATGAGTAAAATTCTTCTTCATTGTCAATATTGTAATATAGTCATATGTGATGACCTAAGTAATGTTGAGTATAGGCGAGTATAGCCCAGTAATATACTCATTTATACTTGTATAAACAAGCAAACGAGTAAACCCGTGAGTAAATTACTGCACTCAGATTAAAAATGTTCTATTTTTTGTTTTACTGCTCTGTACTCTAAGCTGTATTACTGATCTTTACTCAGCTGTGTGCAATGTCTCATAGACAACAATGCATCTCATTTCAGATCAGTAACAAAACTCTGCAGCATTTTTTACTCCCGTATGCAAGAGTCCTAATTATTACACAAGCATATATTAGGAAAGTATTTGCTGCATGAATTTCCCAGTGAATTCATTACTGACATTCTGCTAATTATGAATCAATGCTATTCCCCCTGCATTTTACCTTCACATTCACAACTATGTTTATTGAAGGAAAATCCAGAGCATCCTCAGGGTCCTTGATGGTGAATTTTATTTACTATAGATTTGCAGCACTGCAAGGAAACCGTGTTTAAATATATAGGCAAAAGAATGGTAACGATATAACTATCAATACCTCCAAGAACCTATAACATCACGACTCATGAATGTGATATTTCAAATTAATATTTCAATTAAAACTGCTATTTTAAAATTAATTAAACAATATATAAAGTGAAATAGATAATCCCACAAACAGCGCTCTCAACCTTCTAATATACCAACAAGTTAATATAACCAGTGTATAAATTAATATAAATAACATATATAAAAATTATATAAAGATATATGAATAATAAAATAAAATAAAAATAAAAAAATAACTGCCACCAAATAAAGTGCAAATATGTGCCAAAAAAAATTATATAATTAAAACAGACAAAAAAAGTCCACTAAGTGAAGTCCAAATATATATGTAATCTTTCTTCAATAAAGATATGTAATCTTTCTCCAATAAAGATATTTTCTCCACAATCGTGAATATATCAGCGCTCAACACATATTTGCACTTTATTTGGTGGCAGTTTTTTTATATTTAATTTTATTATTCATATATCTTTATATAATTTTTATTTATGTTATTTATATTCATTTATACACTGGTTATATTAATTTTTGGTATATTAGAAGGTTGAGAAGGGAAAATGTTACCTACTAAGTCACTATGCTGCACCCAATACAGAATCCGTTTCATATGAAAAAATGTCTTTTTTTATACTCCTGACTGAGATTGGATGATTGAAGTGAATGCAGCCTTGGATGAGGAGCCCTCTTTAATAAATTAGCCTCACAGAAAAATGTACCTTTATACTATGCTCTGGAGATACATTTAAACTAAACCTTTGATTTGAATTTTAAAAAGTTGATCTCCATAGAAATATTAATCAGTGCACTTTAATTACAGTATGTGATATTTATATCTTTGTTCATGTACATTATAAATGTCATGTCGATTATTATATGCATCTCTAGTAGGCATCTACTTAATTTCTTATTTATATTGTTTTGGGGGGTTTTTCACAGTGAAAAGCATTTTTTATGTAAAGGCTTTCATTATGAAACTGACTATGATTTTGAACATCTTTTGTTTCCTGGCGTCTGGTAGGATTTAATGCTCCTGACAGTTTTTGTATAGCAGTTTCCCTGCTTTTTGTCAGTGTGTCTAGCACAGTAATAGATGGCAGTGTCCTCTGATGTCAGTCTGTCTATCTGTAGATATGATGTGCTGAGTGAGTCATCTTTAGTTATTGTGACTCTTCCTTGGAGTGAAGGATCATAATTTGTGTTTCCATTATTGGTATTGATTCTACCAACCCACTGCAATCCTTTGCCTGGAGCCTGGTGAACCCAGTGCATACCATAGCTGGTAAATGTGTACCCTGATGTTTGACATGATATTTTTACACTGGATCCAGGCTTTTTCACCTCTGAACTGGATTGCACAAGTTGTATGTCCGCCATAACACCTGCAATCAAATACCAGATGTTGTTATATACTAATCGTTTTTATAGAAAAAAAAAAAGATTGTGTTCATAATTTACTTCTTACCCAGAGGAGCAAACAAATACTAGAAGATGCACAGGAGAACCATGTTTCTTGTTCTTCCAGTCCAAGTTAGCACTGCAGCACACTATGGGAACGTTCTTCTCTTTTCTACCTGACAGATTCACTCAGGAAGAACATTCTGAATTTGCATGTGCTGATCAGGGATATAAAGATCGGAGATCAGCAAGAAGACAACTTCAGCAATCAGGAGGCAGTCTACCAAGTATATTATTATCTAAATTTTAAAATGTCAGTAAACCCTGAAAATCTTTCCTGTGATTGTTTCTAACCGTGTACTTAAAATGTATCTAAACTCGAAAACAAAAATGTACCATAATGAAGCTTACCAATCCTTAGATGTGTCGGCTAAATTAGTTTTAATTTTTTAGTCTTTTTCCCCCTAATTTCACCTGTTGATCTGGCCAGTAAGTCTGTTATTTTTCAATTTGCTTTAACAGATCAAACAGGCCAATTAAGGTATCAGAGGGTTGAGACAAACCATTGACAGGAGTGTTTACAATGTTCAACTTTTATTCAATAATGCAAAACCTTTATCCCAAAAGGAAAAATAGAATGTCAGAATACAGGGAAAGTGCCTGCATCTGATTGGATGCAGGCATTGTTCAGCCAAGAATTTACAGTCTGGATCTTTTGACGAAAGCCAATTGAAAAATCAACTTTTGTCAATCTGGTTATAGCCAACAGGGCCACCTAAGGAACATAATTTGGATGATTCTGAATCAGCCAAAATTTGAAGCCTGTATGGCCAGTTTAAGCTGGAGTTAGGTTTTCATTTGTTAGCTGCTTATGTACAATCTAGTCTATCCTACACTATCTTCTCAGCAGGTTGAAAATGTTGCTCCTCCACAGACCCATTGAAAAAACTACAGAGTAACTATCATGTGATTACCCATATCGACATTCGATTTATGTCTTTTAATATCTTTACCGGGATATGGTACATTTGTGTCAATTTTAATAATAATTTTTATAGAGTTTTGTAATAAGCATAGAATACTCTACCCCCCTTTGGGGGTCTTGCATTCTTAGCGGAGTAATATGTATGTAATTGCTATGTAATGGTTTACAGTTCTATAATAAAGTGATTTTAAAGATAATTTTGTTGCAGTGCCTCTAAAGTCTGCAATTGGCCCTTTTTTATTTTTTTGGATTATTCTGCTTTGTTTTCAATTTCACTGTGAAAATGTAACAGTTCCAATGAGCTGTTTGTGGCCCAAAGTAAAGTTAGGGGACTCCGTTCCTGCATTTGGTGTCACATGTTGCACAATAGATCCACCCACCAGTCTCACAGGGTTTTGCAGAGCAAGGGCTGGGGGATCACATGGCCGTGCAAATTAATTTATGAAAAAAGGAATTTTGCAATATCTGTATCAAGTTATCCATATATATCTCTTCTCATGGTTCAATTTGCAGCTCATATACAGGAATAGGTTATAACGGATTTACATATACTTTATGTTCTTGCTTTAGCCTTCTGCCAGTTGAAGTGTATATCAAATTGTTCATTTAAGGGGAAATAAAATAAAATGTATAAGCTATTTGAAGGTACAGAAATTAGAGAATGATAAACAAGAACTTCAGACAAGGTACTTTTTTCCAGTCAGATCTTATTAATTTCAGCTTTTGGACCTCTGATGATAATTTTTATACAGGTGTTACTTTAACTGGTTAAGCAAAGCTAAAATTGTATTCCATTAGCTTTGTGGTTTTTGGCAGTCACAGCACTTGTGAACGTACATGGGCCCAATCTCTAGGTACATGAGTCAGTTTTATAGGCCCACAGCTCTGTGACTATCCCACTGATTGCAGCTTAATCCCTATGCTCCGAGAGTACGCAAATATGCCACCCTTCCTGACCAGGCCATTTTTTGCGATACAGCACTGTGTTACTTTAACTGACAATTGCATGATCATGCAACGCTGCACCCAAATGAAATGTATGCCCTTTTTCCCCACAAATAGAGCTTTCTTTCAGTGGTATTTGATCACCTCTGCATTTTTATTGTTGCGCTATAAACAAAAAAAGACTGACAATTTTGAAAAAAAAACCCAATGTTTTTACTTTTTGCTATAAAACATGTCTAGTACAAATATTTAAAGAATCAAATTTTGTCATAAATTTAGGCCAAAATGTATTCTTTGCTAGAAAAAAATCCCAATACGTGTAAATTAATTGGTTTACGTGAAAGTTATAGCGTCTACAAATGGCGTCATATATACTGGAATTTTTTTTTTTATATACTAGTAATAGCAGAGATCAGCGACTTATTGTGGGACTGCAGGACTGCGGCAGGCATTCTGACACTGGCTGGGAACTGACTAACTGCCACTGACATCCCAGTGACACTAATACAGTGATTAGTGCTAATAAAGAGCACTGACACTTTACTAACGACACTGGAGAGGAAGGGTTTAACATCTGGGGCAATCAAAGGGTTAACTGTGCGCTGTTTTACAACATGTGCAGTGTGTGCTTTACTAGGGAAACATGCTGCGTGTATTTCTCTGCTGCTATGGGAGAGATCAACAGTATTGAGATGCAACAAAGGATGATAAAACGGTGTAAACAAGTATTTAAAATTAAAAAAAACGAAAATTACAAAATGCATTGCTTTACCAAATGAAATGTCATCCAGTTAGGATTTACATTTGCTTTAATGGCGGATAAAAAAAGCATATTGTTGCGTAAGCAGTGTGAATAAAATGTTCGCTACTAGAAACAATTTTGAAAAAAATGAAATCTTTGTTCTAATGGTCTCAGAAAATGAATGCCACTTTCATAGATAAAAAACAGAAAGAGAGAAAACCTAGGCTTATATTTCTGCCGATATACAGTATGACAGCCAACTAGGGTTTATATACTGTACTGTGTATAAATGATAAACAATGGCCAATCCTGAGTATCTCCTGCAGCCTTGTGGTCAGAAAGGGGAATTGTCGTAATGTTTTTGTATGGAAGATGATGATTTTTAATCGCTGTGTCTCTAGCACAGTAATATGTGGCCGTGTCTTCCACTTTCAGATTTTCTATTTGTAGATATGCTGTGTTTTATGGACTCATCAGATGTTATTGTGAATCTTCCCTCATATGAAGGGGAATACACTGTAGCTTCATTGGCAGGATCAATCCTCCCAATCCATGTCAGTCCTCTCCCTGGAATCTGTTGAACCCAGCTTATATAATAGCTGGAAATCTGAAATCCAGATCCTACACAGGACATCTTCACGCTCTCTCCAGGCTTTTTAACTTCTGAATTGGACTGATTAAGTGTTTCTGACATGACTCCTTGATAAGAGAAATCACAACATTATACATGAGACATACATTATCATCAGATCAGTATTATTTAACCCTTTCTTAACCTGACTTACCGAGCAATAAGGACAGACAGGTGATATAATAAAACAGAAACATGTTGTATTATTTGCTCTCCAACTCCTCTCAGTTCTGGACAGACTTCAATTTTATACTGAGACACTACGACCTCTCTGCTTAGCTTTTCAACCCGACAGATCTGAGATCAGGAGGAGCGATGATATTTGCATAGGGAGTGGAATCTATAAAAAAGCTTCACATCATGAAAGGACTGTATAGAATGTTCATTTACTGTATGTTTAATTATTCACATAAAGGGGATCCTTTCTACAGTATGCATGTATTAAATATTGGGACAGTTCCAGGTTTTGACTATATGGAAATAGATATAGGAATGACACAAGGTTCTCCCTAATCTCGAGTGTGAGGCTCCAGCATGTTTATTGTGAGAAAACTGTGTTTTCAGATTTCTCTGAGGTTCTGTAATCCCAGATCGGGGCCTGGAGATTGAAGGCTACCAAGTGTCTTGGGTGGGACAAAGCCTTCAATCCTGTGTCCGGGTCTTGCTGGTAGGGTTGGGCTTCATGTTTTAAGTTTGACTCGAATATGGGCCATTCATGTGTTCAGCAAACACACGAACGGTAAGGGAGTTCGGCAGGCTGTTCGCCCGCCGCGGCCCATAATGCACTGTGCCCTGACATTGGGATTGGCCAAAGCAATGCACCTGACCACAGGTCAGGTGCAATGCTTTGGCCAATCACAGCGCATGATGGTGTCACAAGGGAATCCTGCTAACAGCTGAAACATTAAAGAATGTTTTCACTACTAAAATTCCGCTTGACATAATATAACTCTCATGCAGTATTTTATTAGCTGTTCGGTATCTTACCTCATACTCAGATGCGGTAAGATACAGCTTAGTGAATTCTCCCTGTTTAAAGTTCGCGGTCAAACTTTTGGTAGGTTCGATTGTTCGACCGTGACCCAAACAGGGAAGTGTTCAACCCATCACTACTTGCTGGAGACCTGCAGGACATATGAGTGCACAAGTATGCAGATAAGTCATAAGCAGTGATGGGCCGAACACCCCCCGGTCACGGTTGAACATTCGACCCTACTTAAAGTTCGATCACAAACTTCAGACAGGGACAAATTACTGAGCGGCATTGCCTGAGGATTATTTTTTTAAATGGTGTGGGGTCCCCCTTCCCATCCATACCAAGCCCTTTGGGTCTGGTATGGATTTTGAGGGGAACCCCCACACTAAAATTAAAAAAAAAAATAGGTGGGGGTCCCCCCAAAATTCATACCAGACGCACATCCGAGCATGCAGCCCGGCAAGTCAGGTAAGGGGGAGACGAGCAAGCGCCCCCTCCTCCTGAACCATACCAGGCCACATACCCTCAACATAGGGGGGTGCTTTGGGGCAGGAGGGCTCCCCCCCCAAAGTACCTTGTCCCCATGTTGATGGGGGCAAGGGCCTCTTCCTCACAACCCTGGCCCGTGGTTGTGGGGGTCTGCAGATGGGGGGCTTATTGGAGTCTTTCAAGACCCCTTTAACAAGGGGGCCTCCAGATCCCAGCCCCCCCATGTGAATGAATATGCAGTACATGGTACTGCTACCCATTCACACAAAAAAAAAAAGCATAGTGTAAAAATGACAGTAGACAGTCTTTGACAAGTCTTTTATAAAAACAAAAATTAAAAAAAGTCCCCTGAAGTAGACCTAACATCGTTTACAATGCCCCCCGCCACCGCCGTCCCGAAAAAGGAAAACAAAACATTCCGCTCTTGACGATGGCTCTCGGCTGTCTGACAGCTGTGCTGGGATGACAGTTCTTATGATGTCGTTACCACCACCCCCTTGTGACATCATTATACACTGTGATTGGCCGAAGCATTGGTCAGGTGCATTGCTTTGGCCAATCACAATGCACTGTCAGGGCGTAGTGCATTGTGGGGTGGGCGACCAGCTTGCCAAACACCCTTACTGTTTGTGTGTTCAGCGAACACACGAATGGCCAGTGTTCGAGTCGAACTTACATTCGACTCAAACATAAAGCCCATCACTAGCCATAAGCCAGATCTGATCATAGCTCAAGGGTCAAGGCTTCCACATAAAGAAATATGAAATGCTAATGAAGAAACCACCAGTTCCCCCAAAGGTGTGCTGTCACTTTAGAATTTCACCATCACTACAAAAAGGTCTTACTTACAAAACTTGTAGCTGTTATACTTGCCCATGTATTTTTACCCAAGAATGGTCTTTGCATAATGTTCAGACATTGATCAGCTGCCTGTTTTTATGGTTATGTTTCTATGATTACGCCTTAATAAGGTATTTTGTAAATTTTTTTTTATATATATATATTCTTTGGGTTAGTTCCTGAAAAATCTTAATCCAGAAACACATTAGTTATAACCCCAGGAGTTACCTCTGGTTTCTTCATTAAAAAGAGCACATCACTTTTTTTTGTGTCACAAAGATTTTGAATTATACATATAACTTGCTCTACCTCAGAAGAAGTGCGTGGGTACGAAACGCTTCAGCAGGAGCCTGTGGATGTCGTTGACACTATGCCGCCAGGTGCCATGTGGAGGCCCGGCGGCCACCTTTAATTTTAAGAGGGTCAGTGGGTCACTTTCACTTGCCACCTGATTACATTTTTTACTTGGTTTTTTTTTTAAATAAATTGAAGTAATATACTACACTATGAGTATCTCTCTGTGTTCTCTGTGAGGGGTCTTTCTCTCCAATTTCACAGCCACAGAGTGATTTCAATCCCAGCACTGGTTCCATTGAAGAGGAATATTCTATCCTGGGAGCTTCCTGATCTGCAGGATTTCATTTTCCCCACAAGAGGGCGTTATCATCATCCATTTCAGCACATATCCATTTTCTGACCAGAGGGAGAGAGGGGAATCTCCAGGATTTCTTACACACATGCGTATATTAAATGCGCTTCTGGTTAGTTTGCATTCTTTCCATTGGCACTGGAAATTAATGAGCACCTTTTCAGGACTATTATTGTGTTGATTTGCATGATTTGATCATTTTACAGCGCTGCATTTTTATATGTATATGTTTTATTGAGGATTTTTATATGCGTTTATCCTGTTGTTCAGCTGCTGTTTCTTTGAGAGCGCTCACTGTGTGTCTTTTACCCATAAAGATTTTGAATTGTTTTGGACTCATCACTGCTTTTCACGATTTTGATGTTTCATATTTGTTTTTCAAGAAGTGGTTTTACATCGCTAATTATTGTCATGTATTGATTAGCGCTGCACGTGTTTATGTTTAATCAAAATAGGGGAAAATACCACCCTTAGTTTCCTTATCCCCTCTACCCCAGTGCTCATGTCATTCACAACTTTTTGGATTTCCTTCACTTTCCCTCCCAGTGACAATATCTCCCAGGATAAATCATAAGGTTAGGTCTCCCCAAAGGCAACACCCAAAACGCACAGTGGAAAATATCCCTGTGCTCATGACACCCATACAATTTTGGATTTCCCCCACTTTCCCTGTCAGTGGCAATAGCCCCCAAGATAAAATTGTATTATTAGATCTCTCCAAATAGACAGGGATAAAAACCTGACAGAGGTGCTAACCCTTCACCACTCTATTCAAAACTGGAAGAAAAATATTTTTTCTGGAGTTTTATTAAACTTTATTATCTTTTTTCAAGTTTACAATAAAGTTTGGTTTATAATCACGTTTTTTAAACTGAAACTTAAATTTTGTAAAACTGAAGCATTGTTTTCTCCTAAACTGAGTTTGACATTTTACACAAAAAGTTAACTTACAGTGTATTATTCAAGAGCGTATATAATGTTATATGTTCAAATGCATTGTTTAGGCCTAGTTCACATTTGTGGCAAGGCGGTGGTAAAAACCAGGTGATTGAGCTGGGGTTTTACCACCCCCAGACCGCCCACCTAAATGCTGGCAAGCAACCACTAACAGTTGCAAATGTAGCACCCCCCTCCAGTTAGCCAGGGGGACCTAACTAGGTTTTTTAGAGAGAAAGGCTGAATAGCAGCCTGGGTATGAGTCATCCTGGACATGACTCAGCCAGGTCAATTTTAGGTCAGGGCTGAGGGCTCTGCAGATCGGTTCCCTGATACCTCCCCCTGATCTAGAGGCTCTGAGAAGTCTCTAGAACACAGTGTGTGGGGGGTGATCAGGTGCTTATTTGCATATCAGGGGACTCTGGCCAATCCCTAAGCAGGAGCCGTGGCATGGGGCCAGAGCAGACATTAAGTAGAACTGAGCCTGCTCAGGAGCAGGAGAGTGTTGGGGGAAGATAGAGAGAGTGAGATGGCTGGAGTGTAGAGCCTAGGAAGGGGCTCAGGGAGGGTCCTACCTACAGGCAGAGTTGCTGGACAGGAGGATCTCTCTGCCTCACCGTCCTCTGAGAGAGGACATCCTAGGAAGCAAGGGAAGGAGCCAGCCCATGAAGGCAGCAACCAAACCACAAAGTTTATTTATTTCAGGTACATATTTAGCATCATCAATTTACGTACCACTTTACATACATTACCAATAGCGGTATATATACTGGGATTTTTTTTTTTACAAGTAATGGCGGCGATCAGCGACTTATAGCAGGACTGCAGGACTGTGCGCGCATTCTGATACTGAGGGGAACTGACTTGGTATCACTGACATCCACAGTAACACCAATACAGTGATCAGTGCTAATAAAAAAACACTGACACTGTACTAATGGCAGTAGGCAGGAAGGGGTTAACATGTGGGGCGATCAAAGGGTTTTACTATGGTGTTTGTGCTTCACTGTAAGCAGACTGCTTACAGCCATGCATAGCAGTGTGCAGGAGCTGACCCCCCCCCCCCCCCTTCCTCGTCGGAGATGCTCGGCAATCACGGGGCGCCCGGCAAATAATCACCACCTGTAACCCGTGGCTGCGACTGGCGGGGAGGTACCCACAACTGCAAAATCA